GCTTGGCAGTGAGTTAAAAGCTAAACGCCCTGAATTTTTAAAAGTTCGCCCCCCAAGAACAAGATTTGTTTTGTTTGGGTGAATATTTCTCCTCTGCCTAGTGTTGTAATTGTGTACATCATTGTTTACCTTAAAATAGTTTTTTAAGTATATAGGAACGAAATTCCGTAAACGTTTATATACTAAAATACATTTGTGTATTTTTTTTCGCAGTGTTTCTAAATCTGGCCAATTTACAATATTTCGGGCTGTCCTTGTACTTTTCTGACAGGTGACGATTTTCGCGGCTCGATTTTGTAATCGTTGCAGACTAGTGATGCTGCTCTCGGGTAGTTCACCCCAGGCTGTGTCTGCGTAACTAAAAATTGGTTCAATAATGCATTTGTATACCGCTTGTGCTGCTTGTAAAGTAAGAGTGGAGCGTATTCGTCTGAGGAGACCGAGTCGCTTGGATACTTTCTTGTGAACATCTTCAGCGTGTACTTTCCATTTCAGTTCCTCATCGAGGGTAACGCCCAAGTATGTGAATTTACTGACCATCTCGACATTGGTACCACTTATGGTGATGTAAAGTTTGCGACGGCTTCCAGCCTTTGTCTCGTCCCGAAAAGAATTCCCTTTGTTTTCTCTTTGTTCAGAATCAGACGATTTATATCCATCCAAGTTACAACCCGCTCTAGGTCTTCTTGAAGGGACTTCTTTATCTCCTTTGGGTTTACACCCGAGCAATAGATGACTGTATCATCAGCATACATACTGATGTGCGTGTTTTTGAGACAGCTTGGCAGGTCATTGATGTATATAACGAAAAGTAGTGGTCCCAGCAGGGATCCCTGTGGAACACCATACTCAATGGGGAGGCTTGGTGACAAGTCCTGTCCAAATCGTACTCGTTGTGTACGAGATCCTAGGTAGTTCTGGAACCATGTGAGACTTTTCCCTCTGACACCATAGTGCTCTAACTTCTGTAACAAACAGTTATGGTCAACAAGGTCGAAAGCCTTCTTTAAGTCAATGAAGACGGAGCCAGTCATTTGTTGATTATCCATGTGTTCCAAGATCTGATCAGTGAGATAAGTCACAGCAGTTTCGGTAGAATGTCCTTTTCGGAATCCAGATTGGTACGCTGACAGAACTTCGTTTGCTTCAAGAAATTTCACAAGCTGTACTTGGATTGCACGCTCCATAACCTTGGAGACTAGGGGCAACACGGATATAGGCCTATAGTTACTTTCTTCGGTTCTTTTACCGTTCTTGAATATAGGCGTAACTTTCGCTTCTTTAAGTTCAGGTGGAATTTCGCCAGTTGAAATAGTCAGATTAATAATATAAGTAATGGGTTTGGCTATCACAGAAGCTGCAGACTTCAATTATACCAGCACTGATGTAAATGTTTTTGCTGAAACACGATTTTGTACTTTAGACACAAATGATATGTATAACATAAATGGCTATAGTCTATTTAGAAATGATGGCACATCAACTGCCAATAATATAAGACCATATGGAGGTACAGCAGTTTATAGTCAAATAGATTATTACCCTGACTATTCCTACTGCAGCAATGGTACTGGTATTGAAATAACTGTAATGCGATTTTTGAACCTTCCACATATTAGTATCATAGGACTTTATAGGTCACCAAGAGTACCAGTGATGCAATTATGCCAAGAATTGAGAGAAGTTTTTGATAAATTGTCAACTCGTGACAATATATTTATCGGTGACTTTAATATTAACTAGTTTAATGAAACACAAAGAGCACCTCTTCAGCATCTGTTTGCAAGAAATAATTACAGACAACTTGTACCCTGTTCAACTACTGATAACAACACTTGTATAGACCATATATATACTAATCTACCAGAAACACAAATTGATTTCCTTATTTTAGAGACATACTTTTCTGATCACAAAGGTATCTGTGCATTGGTCAATAGTTTTTAAACAAACAACTTGCAAGCATTCGCAAGCATACTTAAGATGAGAATCCTTTATTGTTCATTATTGCTTATGCTAACAGGTAACAATAATTACATTTTCAGAAGTATTTACTGATCCATTAGCCCCTCCCTTTGGCTAAGAACCTAATGTGAACTCTGGAAATCAGTGCAACTTTCAAATTACTCAATAATCTGCTGGAGGATTGTCCACTAATCTGTAGGTTGTGCACACAAAGCATGATTTCCAAACAATTGCCAGCTTTATCAACAATTGCAATGCCACTGACATGTCTAGGTTTTCCCCTCTAATATAAACGTTATATTTTGCAGATTCATCTATTGATGGCTATGTGCATTTACTAAGTCCCATACAATCTTCCAGCAAAACAAAGACAAAGTACTTCAACTTCAAACTACAAACGGCAGAAACTGATAGTGTTCGCCTGGTATGTTATTCACCTGAAAAAAGAGTCAACCTTCAACAGGCTTTTCAAAACAAATCCCCTGATAAAATTCACGGTGTAAAACGAAGCAAAACAAAGGAAGATGAATATTCCATTGCCAAGGCAGCCAAGATTGCTCCTTCTGATGTGGAATCTCCATACAACAAAGCAGTTGCAAGCCAAGTCTCTACAGTTGAAGATTGTCTCTCTGCCAGCCTATACGACAAAGTTGACATTTAGGTGAAAGTTGTTACTAAATCAGAAAACAAGCAACCAGTTGTACACAGAGAAAAAACAAAGTACAGGGTAGAATGCCTTGTTGCAGATCACACAGAATCAATCAAACTTATTTTATGGGAAGATGCAATTGAAAAAGTACACAGTAGCAAAAGTTACCACTTTCAAAACCTGACGGTCCGCATATTCGATGATAACAAGTATCGTAATACCAATGAGTTAACAGTGATAGACGAAATTGATGACATACATGACATTAATTTGTCATCACTTACCCTGGAAGACAACCTCGTCACAGCAAAGTGTGTTGGAATCGATATCAAAAAAAGCTCCTCATGTTTTGTTTTTAACAGCTCCTTAGATAACTTTCCCAAACTGTAACATAACAACCTTAGCAAGTTTATGCAAAACCAAACTGGTCTGTCAAATACTTCTTCAAACTGCAGACAACATTTCAAGCTTCACATGCTTCAATGATGCACTTCAGAGTTTCCTGAAGTCCATAAACTGCCAAACAGCTCTATCAGACATCGAAATTAATGAGCTCAAGAAATTGTTGTTGACTGCAGGCCCACAGCAAATGATAGTAAGCAAGTCACAACGACTAATATCACAGTTTCTGGCGCCAAAATTAACGTGTACTAGACATGTAAACTAATTGACTCATATTGAGTTAACATTTAATTCAATCACAAGAACATCAACTGGCAAACATCTCTATTACACAAAAAAATTCCTATGCTCAAGAAATAATTGCTTTGCTCGCCAATATTGATTATATAGTACACAATGTTATTCAGTTGACATTTCAGGGTTGTTAAATATTGTTGCATTTGAAGTTAATAAAAAATTGCAAAGTGTCAGATGTACAAAACTATTTCCAACTTTGTCCATTTTTGTCCCTCTAAAATAACTTAGTCAATTTTCAATTATCCCTCTTGTGTTTCTGTTGGAGGCACAGCAGCCTCATGGTTAGTGCCCTTGACTCCGGATCGAACAGTATGGGTTTGAGCTCTGGCCGGTAACATTGTGTTATGTTCTTGAGCAAGACACTATTCTCTCAGTGTCTCTCTCCCCCTAGTGTAATAAATGCATACCAGCATATTTAATACTGGGGAATAACCCTGCAGTAAACTTGCATCTCATCCACGGGGAGTGGAAATGAGTTGCCACAAAGCTATACGCAACGTCTCATAGGATTGGCTGAGAAAATGATCTAAAAACGATAGTAACAATGGACCCTAGCCCTGAAACGATAGAACTTCGTGTTAACAAGATCCAATGAAATTAGAGGTTCTAGAGAGCTTTATGACAACGGGTAGAAGTACTCCTAGTCGCTTCATGCTAAAGAAAAAAAAACTTTACCTTTTGCCTTACATTTCTAAACATTTTCTATTTTCAAGTAAAACAACAAGTGAATTTCGATGAATACAAAAGCAGACTCTAGGTGACCAAAGCTAATTTCTACCACATGATTTTAAGGCCAGCCTATCAAAACGAAGAGTTTTACTCAATTATTTCCATCCAAGGTAGCCACATGCAGTCCCTGACTGCCTATTTTTAAATGTGTAAAAATCTCTGCGGGCCTGCCTCTACTTTCCATGGGGGCAATTCGCGAACGAAGCTCAAAAATCAGATATTGCATAATTTGGCGATGTCTACATCTAATGCTCTCAACAACAAACGTTTCAGACAAATGAAACGTGCCAGGCTTTGAAAGAATGTTATCTTATGACAATATCCCGAAGAGAAATCTCGCCTCTGGTAGTCAACTTCTAAAAAAAAATTGATCAACCTTCATGGAGGACTACTCGACGTAACTACAACCATATACCTCAAATCGTGTGCATGTCATCCAGATTCCGAGTGCTGTATCTTCTTCCATGGGAATTTGACCGATCCGAAGTCCTCTGAAGATACACTGTTATACTTGCATGTCATTTAAAACATGTTGAAGTCGGCTGATCTACACGAAACTATCTTCACACCGGTCATTTGTCATAAACATGCAGACAATGCAGAGCCACTCGCCCTCCGAGGCAGTCTTAAATCCCTCGCAGCTCATGTGTAACCTTTCTTCGCACAACTCGCACTGTACCATGTCGTCCTAACATTTGGGCATTGAACAATGACAAAATAAATTAGTGTCACAAGTTCGTCTCTTATTGAATCTAGCGGTGTTCGACTATCGCGGACCTCTAAACTAAATTCTTACCCATTTTCCCATGGTCAAAAGAAACATCCGACGGGATGCCAGTTCGAATACATTAACGATACGCATGTTTTGAATTAAAAACATACTTTAGTAAGCAGTGGAACGTAAAGTATCATCCATTTTTACTAGAACGTTAAGGATGATGTTTTCACTCAGTTTTGTAGGGGGGTCCAAATCAACTAGCGGATTTGCACCGGAGGGGTCCATGTCCGCTAGCGGATTTGGACCGGGGGGGCCAAATCTAGGGGGGTCCAAATCCGCTGGGACACCAGCTCACCAGGAAGAAACAGGAGATCGTTCAGTCCAATAACGTTAGTCTGTGGACATTATCAAGGTAATAACTAAGAAGATTGTGCCCTTTGGTTCATCAGTGACAGCATTAATTATTTCAGATCTGTATTTCTCGGTCCAAACGACACCAAAAATAGTTCCTTTGCAATTTTGTAAGCACTTTCTATAGCTTTTTATTGTCACGGGAAATAAATCTCTAGGCTCAAAGCCAATATAACGTTCGAGCACATGAAAGACCCCCTGGAAAAAGCTACATTTTTGGAAATTGATTGTGATGAAATCCCTGTTCCATTTGCTGTACTACAGGGATACTCGTGTCTCAAGCAAAATCGATCGGACCGCTCTTACAGAGACACTCTCTTAAGTGCTTTCATTTTGTCTTAAAGGTGTCCTATAGATTGGTAACGAGTTAGCAGGTTATGACGTAAAAAAAGGGGAAACTCTCCGTTGACACTTACAAATCTCTCACAACTCTTGTAATTTTGTATTAATCAGTGTTGAAATACTCTTGAAATAATGTCCGATAGCAATAAATACCCTTTGTCTGAGCCGATCAGCATTTAGTAATTTTGCCCTCTATGTTTAAGGGGTCGGAATATCAACTCGGAAATGGCTTTCAGCCATTTTCCAGGTTGAAAGGATCTAAATAAAGGAGGGAAAATCTATCTGGATCTTGCCTAGGCTCGAGCGTATCAGAGGAGACGACAAATCATTTTAGCGATTGTTCAACTTTTTACTTATTTTGCTTTTATGGCCTCTTTTGTGAAACATTCAATTACGCAAACCTGGATGAGATTTCAGTCAATGCCCTTTAGATCAACCTTAATCGATACTACATTTTAAGTGTAGTTATTTCTGTCTTTCTCTCTCATTCTCAGGAAAATAGCTTTTCAATACAATCTCTACACTAACAGGGTGTGGGTGCTATCAAATGTGGTGACGTACACATTACATCCTTTATTCAGACAAAATGAGACTAATGCATAGTTTAAGCGTGCCAAATTTCAATAATTACGTAAGTGGGTCAAAATTTAAAGTTTCTTTCGTCTTTCATTTCTATTTTCCGGCAGTGTGCTTTGGAGACATTAATCTTCTGCCTTTTTTGCAGCGGTTTTGGTCGATGCTTTATGTGTAGCGGCATCTCTGTTTTGCAGGGCCCACACAGTTTTCCGCTGATCCCGATTGTCATTATAGCAGTCGCAATAAGATCCTGCAGCTTTCCAATCGCAACCATGCCATCCCCAATCTTCATATGTGTTTGGATATGCAGTTAACTTAGAGTCACCTGCACCCTCTTTCACTCTCTTGTAACGGACACATGTTGGACCACGACAGGAGCACCAAATGGGTCTGTAATGGCAGTCATCGCTTTTGTGGCAGCCTTCTTTTGCCAGGGTACACTCGAATTCTGGATACTTCTCACTGGAGCCTCTGGTATGGTCAAATTTTTGTATGGCAAGTCCATCGTTACTTATGAAGGGACAACCATAATTCAAGAAACCAAGGTAGTAGTACTCAAGGTTTGTGGCTCGGATATTGTTAGGAGATCCCTGTTTAAATCGGCTTAGTAGGATGGTCCAGATCGCCATAAAGGTGTGCTGAACAGACGCGGGAAATTCGTCTGCTTCATTCATGAGTTGGCCAAGCAATTCAGCCGACGTCGCTCCGTTTGCCAGCTCGCTGTTTGTTTCCCTTTTTCCACCTTTGACAAAGCGTTTCTTGCTTATGCTCATCGTGCTCACTTTGGATATCTCACTTTGGCTTATGTTTGAACATGCAGAAATGCCAACCTCTCCAACCTGGGTAGGTCCTGCTGCCGAAAGGCAAGCTTTTACTTGGAAATCTCTTTCAGTGTAAGCTTTAGAGCTCTCTGCGAATACCAACTGCTTAAATCTTGATCCGTGCACCACCGACGTTATGGCATGAGAGCCGTATTTGTTAAGAAAATTACTATACTCTCTCCATGAGTTTTGTTTCCAGGGACTTTTGATGTTTACTGGCAAGTCCTCGAAGTCTTTTAGAAATGTTTTTTTTAAGGTGGAGATGTCAGCATTCACTAGACATTCTTTATCGACGTGGATCTTTTCCGTTGGCGCCAGCTTGTCTAAAGACATGCCACTTACTTCAGTACTCTCTGAAGTTTGGGTGTCTGTTGCTACTGATACCGTAAAACCCAACGAGTAGGCGGACTGTAAAGAGGCGCTCAAGCTTGACTGGGTGGCAAGTGATTTATAAAATTGCTTGGTACTTGCATAATAATCGAGGTAGCTGCTTGAAGATTTCAAAGGTTTCTTTATGAAACATTTCGGGGGGAGCTCCTCAAAGATCCTGTTCTCTTGCTCATTGAAGTTGGCCAGTAAGTTGACCTTTCGAAGATCTATCACTCTTCCCAGCTCAGAATACTCGGTAACGGTAGCCTCACATGTTTCTTTAAATGTGTATAACACAAAAACGAGAAGTACGGAAGGGAGATGCATCATTCTGCTTTTTGAAGTACAATCTACGGGGGAAAAAATGTTGCATAATTGTTTTTGAAAGTGGCCATAGAACGGGACCGAAACGTTTCAACGTTTTTAACGAGGGGCGATAAAGGAAATGTTTTAATGAATACATAACATTCCAGTTATAACTGTTTTTGCCTCAAATGAATTAAATAATAGGCTAACATTTTACTTGGACAATTTTACTCTGAGAAACGCAGTTAACTCATCTAGATGTTAATGTTTAGGGAGACACTTTTAAAATTGTTCTATCGATTTTGAACAATATTAGAGGATCTTTGAGATATTTCCCCCTCTAGGGAGGGTCGGATTTTAAAGCAATAAACACTACATTTCAAGGTTGCAGCTACCAACGGGCCTTTGTTCGGTTGTTTGTTTGTTTGCCTCTTGATTAAAAGTAAGCAACCTCAAGGGTTAGTTAATCATTAGAACATTTCTTTAGAGAAAATAATGTTAATCCATTTTCTAAAGTAAGAGTTAACTTACGACTTGTATTTTTGTTTTTCTTCTAAACGGTTAAGAAAGAAAACGGTAGATAAAGGTCTGAAAGCAGAATCACACTCTTTAATTGTTATTAAAATATGAACAATTAAATGTATGACCATCAAGTAAACTTTTGTCCATTAAACTTTCGACGCTGAAAATAAGAAAACATCGAACTATGAGAATGATGATACCGGCAGAGGGACACTTAACTTTAACAAAAAACTATTCGGCTTTTTGACAAACCTTGTAATACTGGCTCCCTGAATCTCTTAGATTATGATAAACCAGGATACCAGGGAGTATCACCTAACCAAAATGTTTAGACCCTTAGACATGGCAGAAAAGATTAGTAAAGCTCTTCGTTTCACTTAAGGTCTAACGTCGTTCTGCTCCTTACAGATAAATAAGCAAATCACACGACAAAGGTTGGAGACAATTTTAAAAAATTGGTGTTTTTGTCTTTTGAGAGGCATTTGCTTGCCTGTTTGATTAAAGAAACCAAACTTCATGGTTGGGCTAGACCTTGAACTTAAGCACCATGCCTTCATCATAGCCATGGAAAATGAACAATATACGAATTAGAACCAATTCAACTCTTACTCTTACTTAACTTTAGTATTTTCGAAGATTAAGAATATGGCAGTAAAGGAGGGTCAAAGAGCAGTTCACTGACTTCGATGAATTGTAACTAGAAAGATATCGGTGATCATTTCCCCGTAACAAGGATTCTTCGGAAGTGACTTGGAATTAATGGCAAGTTAAATGTACAACTTAAAAGGTATGTCAATTTCAAAGACTCCTTTTAGTCCACAAACTTTAAGACGTGATGAATAATGAAGCTGAGGAGTGATAAAAGTAACAATATTACAAATGAACACCTAAATATACCAAAGCTGAGATTCGTTTTAGGAAGTTTCCCATGTTCTTTCCTAACGGAGTTGGTTTTTCTAATACACTATAGTATCTGTAATGTTTCGATTCGCTGGGTTGCGTGTGGCTTTAACAGATCACAAACAAAGCTTAATTTAGAGAGTTAGATGTAAGGAGCAGGTAGGTCGAAAGGTTTTATGGTGAAAACAAACCTACACCAGTTCATCGTTCTCTTTGACCAGACAACCCTAATGAATATATTTAAGACTGCATAATTGCGAAAAAACCGAAACCTTTATTACACAGCTTAACTCGAGAGAGCAGCGAGAATCATTCCAAAAAAACGATACTCCGTCGAAAAATAGCCGAGTCTAGAACGAATATCGAATTATTTGTTTCGACGGATCGATTGCTTTATCACTCAATTAGGAATCCTTCAAAAAATTAAATTATGATTATTTGAGTATCAGAATCATTTACAATCTTCATTAATATCAGTTGCAGTTCAAGTTGGGGATCATTTTTGGGTTTTTTTACGTTTAGGGTTCATTTGGAAAGCGGACAGAATTTGCATGACAAAGGAAATGTTGTTTTTGTCGTGAATACCGATTTGTGACCTGGTAAAATGACTAGATAATGTAACAATGTTCATCTTCAAGATTATTAGTAGTCCAAAATTCAACTTTGGCTTATGGCGGCACACAAATAGAGAATTGGACAGGAATGGAACAATGTTTAAACATTTATCCGAAACACTTTTCATGAGCAAAAATCAAGCAGGAACGTCATTGAATATATTTGAATTAAACGTGTTTTTTAGTAGTTATCCCAATGTCGGTTGATTTTACTCGAAAAGAACGGCCTCTGCTCCGCATACAGTTTTGCATAGTTTGTGTCAATTTTTTTGCAGAATTAGGGTGAAAATATTGCTTGTAACAAAGAATAATTGTTTTCATTGACTGCGATATGAAGCGAATGTATTAGACCTCAAAGAGGAAAAAATTGTTCTCTTCTCACCTGCAGCCAGTGAACGACCACTTCCGTCTCTCAATTCTGATGTGCAATCAAATTCTGATGAGATGATCGTACTATATTAGATCTTTGTTGAATGGTAAATTACGTGTAAAGAGATATCGACAGGTATATTACATCTATGTTGAGCTGTAAATTACGTGTAAAAACGGGATTTGTTATCCAGGAGGAGAACTAATCAATCAGTCTAAACTCCCTCCAGGAGGGAATAGCTTGTCTGGAGGGGTGAAGAGGTATCAACAGGTGTATTAGATCTATGTTGAGCTGTAAATTACGTGTAAAAACGGGATTGGTTATCCAGGAGGAGTTATCCAGGAGCAAACATATTTTTCCTATGCGCGAGACAATTTTTTTACGAATCGGTAGCACCACGTTATTGGGGTTTGAACCACTAATGTTTAAAATCCGCTCGTATGTAGGAAGGGATAAAACTGCTTAGTCTTGATGGTTGGTTAGAATCTACAGAGGTAGAGGATTTTCTTCTTCCGTTTTCACCGTTATAATAAATATGTGCCCGCCTAAACAGCGTATTCGAATCTTTTTCGTTGGTCAACAGGTATGTTTTACTACGATGGGATTGGGAAACCTCTAGCTCTCTCTTTTTGTCCGCCAACACGAAAACGATAGGCCAGCAGTTTAAAAACGTCGCCCCGTAGGCCAATCATTAACTCCTCAGTTTTTAAAATATATTAACCCTTTAACTCCTATGAGTGACCAAGACAAAATTTCTGCTCACAATATCACTAGAAAATCAACCAGATAAGTGATGAGATTAAAGAAAAATATCAATTTGGGGATAATTAGTTGATCCAATAATAAATTTTCTGATGAACAAACATAAGAATTGTATTTGACACTAAGGAGAATTACACGTAAAAAGTTCACGCGGCAACCTGGTGGACAATCAGATATGGTTTGATGCTACTCTGGTTCAAAGATTTAATGAATGTAACCGAGAAGTTATAATTCATAGACCCAACGTCTCGACAACCCTGTCTGGTACCTTCATCTGGGGTGATCTAATCGCTGCAACAAGAGGTCCTTTCATATGCTTACTAATTAGCAGCCCCTTTTTTTCTGACGAGGTGTAAATAGGCGTCAGGAGGTAAGCCGCCATCATCACGATCTAAAAGAGCGTGGGCGGAGTTAATATGCCAGGCTTTCAAACAAAGGCGCTGGTGGTAACGCCGATTAGCGGTGATAATTTTAGACTTATCCTTCCCAATTGTATGGTTGGTTAAGCGTATGTGCTCCGATTGTTTAAGCGTATGTGCTCTTTTTAGCGAAAGAAGACCGCTTTTTGATGCTCTTTCAAACGTTTACCAAACTGACGTTTGGCCTGTCCGATATACTCCTCATCACAGTCATTACACGGGATAGAATAAATAGTGTCGGTTCGTTGTTCTTGAAGTGTGGACGTCTTGTACTTTGCAGCATACAACTTTAGTGATATCTTTCGGCCTATACTAGCCTATTCTCTACATCTAGTTATAAGCTCGGCTTTTATAGGTACGGTTGAGAATCTAGAACGTTCCGTAACATTACAGTAGATTCTATTTATATATTGATTCGGGGATGACTCAGCATGACACAGCTACTTCTAGAACATTCTTGAAGGTCACACTACAGTTCTTTCGTAACGGGATCCTTAGGTTTGATTTCAAAATAAAGTCTGAAAAAGTTTTTGAGTAACTTTAACGTTGCGTGAATATGAAAGCGATCTTCGCAGTTTAAAGTTGTGGCTATTCAAAATTCTCTCGTTGGGTTCCGTAACACCCTGAATGTCGGGAATAACAGCAAAACCTGTTCCCTCTCATCAGGAGTGCTACTAGTTGTAACTGGTTTCCGGCAGTTACGGAGAAAAGTTTTGGTACAGCCATTCGCCTTTTATGGTCTATGGATTGTAACTTCTCGGTTCTTTAAACAAGAGTAGCATCAAACCATGTCTTCAGTTTTTGTTGCTCGAAGACTGCTTTCATGTGTGTAACGCAGGCTTTAACAGGAAAAATATCTGTACGAGAAAAATTTCACGGTGGCAACGGAAGGAAAGCACCACAACCAAAATATGGTATAATATAAACAACCTACAGAAAAACATCCTTCTATCTACCATTTTCGAAAAGAAAGCAAGCTCGGAAAACGGATGTGAAGCGCTTCAAAACCGACGCATTGTGTAAAGAGAAGATTTGTTCCTTGGATTTGTGTAAGTCTTCCTATCTTGTAATCATGCCACCTGCCTTAGAGAATAGGTTCTTTGTAATGAGTTTCACAGAAATTCGAAAAAAGAAGAAGTACAGGGAGTTTAAGTCGCTAAAAGTGACGCAACTTAGGAGAAACGGTTGATCCGTTTTCTGCTTTGCAAAATAAAGAATATTCAGATAAGTGAGGAGGTTACCTAAAAACTCGTAAAAAGAATTACGAACAACCCCGTAAGGGTTGGACAGGTTGGTTATTCAACGGTTTGTGTAATATATAGATTTAGCCAAGCCTAAAAGTGGAGCTCTTGTTAGTTTATTTTCTAATCCCTCATTATAATGAAAACTGTAATAACACTCTTCAGCGCTGGCTGTAGAAGAGTTTCTTCAAGGGAATTAAGAGACCAGTCCGGGGGTTGGGGAGGGAAGGGAAGAATTGGCGAGGTCTGGAACCTGGGGACGACGTTCTCACAACTTGCGATAAAACGCATGCTAGTCAGCGGTATCTTTAAGCACCTAAGGACCTTCGTTGTTGTTCCTGATGTTTAGAGCAAATTTTCGAAGATAGAGAATCTTTTCTTCTTCATAGGAAGTGTGCCATGTCAGCATCAGTTGAAATTATATTCTTTTGAGCATGACTTATAATTTTGGTTTGGACAAATGAGCCAAAATTGAAAGAAACGACGGTAAAGTACTTCCACTTTAGACATCACCAGTCCATTGAAGAGTATACACATGATAACAGCGAATCAGTAAATCAAGACGCCAGAATCGTATGGGCTTCACTCATATCTTCTCTTGAAGTTGCCAGGTTTGACTGCTTTCCCCACCATCTTTTCCCTAACTTTTCAACCTCCTCTGTTTCGCGTAAAAGTTAAAAGGAAAAGTCATTTTCAACTCGTGTTTGAACCTGTAATTTTTCCTCTTTTGGCTATTTTTTATGATTGCCCCATGGCTGGAAATACACGGCGTCTTTGAGGTTTTTTCTGTGATGTTATTCGGTAACCTCTGCTGTAACTACTTATAATGTAGGTTTCTTTAAGCCAACTGCCCATGATCTTAGCAACTCTAGCCAATGAAGTACGAAATTTGTCTAATATGTTTCTTGCGCTGCAAAAGTTTGCTTTAAAAGAAGACAAGCTAGAGCTAAAATGTCATGATTAAAATTTGATGACCAAGAGAGACTTAGGATTTGATCATGAAGACATTTGTGGAAAACTTGAGATTTCATTTTTACATCAGCAATCAATTCCAAACATCAATCAAGTTTTCTCTTTAGTTTTAAAGTTGAGTTGATTTTGTTATTGGTTATATTATATTAGAGTTACTGCAACATGTCAACATGAAACACAACAACAAATTTTATTGATATGTAAAAAGTTTTCCTTTGAATATCTACTGGCAAGTCGTTGTATTATATTTCAACCCAACCATTTCCAAAATTTGTAAACACCATTGCAAAATAATTAGTGAGGGAAACATACACCATGTTGGAAATGTCAAGTCCATAGTAAGCAAACAGGATAGAGGAGAGTTTATGTGTGAATAGGCTCTCTTGTCTGTATTGTTAATTGGCTAATCACTCCTGTTGCCAATGTTTTGATAAGGTTGGGCTGTCAAGGTAAAGGAACCGAGGATTTTAGTAGGCAGTGACTTTTTTCAAACCTGAAAACTATCATCGTGAAAGCCATACTTGTGCCTGGTAACTCATTATTATTCTTATAAACTAGTTTTAAGAAGGATACGATCTTTAATTACAAATATTTGATGCATAGGCTGTGCACAAATATTTAATTTAACTATACTTTTATAGCCAATACCAATCCCTACGCATGATGAAATGTCAGTAGAATCAGTGGAAAGGTATACCAAACATTTGCAAGATTTGATGTAACTATTTTAATTACATGAATATTAACTGATATTAGGAAATCTTAGAATATTCAAAAGAATGTAAATTGTTTGAAAAAGTAATGTGTACTGATGAAAAAAGTAAACAACCTTTTTACCGGTTTTATATGTCGAAAACACACACACACATTCAGATTTCTTATAAACCTGTAGTTCAAACCTGCCATGACTTCAAAATTTTGATGTACACCTCAAAAGGAGAATAAATAAATTTGAAGTTTCTATTTATTCAGTTTAGGTTTATCAGGTAAAATTGAGTCAAGCAAAGAAATTTTCATAGCTTATTTATTAGGTTAGCCTTCCTAGAACAATCAACTTCATTTACAAATAAGACAAGGTATGTACTGATGATGCACACAACAAGTATATGTGGTAAGAGGGCAGGCTTTCCTTTCTTCATTTAAAAAAATACCAAGGTCGTCATCTTTCCAGAAGCTCACCCTTGCGAAATGGATTTTGGAATTCCTAGGAATAAAGGTGTAAATTTTCACGGTAAATTTGGACTGGGAATGACTGGGAATTCCTAGGAATTCCCAACCATAACAACTCTGGTTCTAAAAACCTAGAAATTCCTAGAAATTCCCAGAAAAAACCCAGCTAAAAATTCAAGTATTCAATGAAATTTATTTACAAGCTTAATTAAGGCTTAGATGCAAAATATTTTTGATTAATTGTTAACATCAACATGTGGTAATATTAGGATGGAATTTGATTTATTTTTCTTTTCTTGAAAACTTCATACAGATTAGTCCTCAACTACAGCTATTCATATGAAATACCGGTAGTCCTAATCAATCATTTTATTTGGTTTGACACAAATTGTGAATAAAATCTGTTGATTCTTTTCCATAAAATACAATCTTAAATTATATTTGAAAACCAAGCACTCTTGGGAATGAAGGGGTTAATTACAGATAAA